TTTCCTAGCATGATAGCCTAACTACCTAATATTTGTTACCAAAGATTTGCTATTTTAATAATAAATGAATTAATTTGATATTTATTAATTGTTAGTGTTAATTGAATGCTGACAACTATATTTAAAAAAAAAAAGATATTATCAAGATTATTTTGATACAATATATGTTTTGAATTGATTTAATATTTTGTAATTGTTGTAACCAATTTTAATTTACATAATTAAGATTATTTTTCAATAAAAAAATCCAATATGAGCAAAAAAATATTTGTATTAATGCATGGGAGGTCAAGGTGGTATACCCAAAGAATTATAAATGTCTATCAATATAAAGCCAAGTTATTTTTACTCTATAATATATAGTTATGCGAAAATTGGATTTTGTTTTTCAAATGAATTTCTTATGTTTTAAATTATACTTTTGCACAAACTTTTTGGTGTCATTTGGATTTGCTTTTGGATGATATTGACAAAATCATGTATGCACTAATCAATTCAATTCAATTGTAAGGTTTCTTTGTACAATTTTTTTATTATTTTCTCCAACAATTTCTAAGTACAAAAATAAAAAAATTTCTTAAAAACAGAAAACAATTAAGTAGTCCCAAAGCTAAACCGAATTTAGTACAAAAATTTCTTAAAAACAATTTTTTATTAATTTTTTGTATTAAAAAGTTACTTTAAGAAGTGGTAAGATTGTCATCTCAAATGAAATCTAAATTTATTAAAATTGGAATTCTTATGATCCCATGATTAATTTTGAAGTTTTTTAGTTCATAATCTAAGTGATCTTTAGCTGAAAATTGCGCCAAAATTCGTGTGCAGTCTAATAAAATGGTAGGGTCAATATCATTTTAAAGATCAACCTCAGTATGAAATTAAGAAAAAAAATGCTAATCATTGATATAAACTGTACTATTTCTCTTAAAAATCAATAGCAATGGAGAAATATAATTTTCCACTTTAGCAAGTAATTAAAAAACATTTAAAATGTTATAAGTGCAGAAAAATCTTTTCTCAGCCTTTTTTTTGTTCAGTCAAAATCAATTTAAATAATTAACAATATTTTTTTTTTCTGTTAGCTAAATAACTATTTTTTTAATACAGAATTTAGGCTTCGATTGGGACTGCTTTTTTATAGCTTTCTAAAACGGAGTTTTAGTACAAAAATAAAAAATATTGTACTAAAACTCCGTTTTAAAAAGCAGTAAAAAAACCGTCCCAAACGAAGCCTTAGTCTCAGTTTTTTACAATCTTTACAAATTAAGGTTTCATTTGGTACGGCTTTATTACTGTTTCTTAAAGCAATTTCTTAGTACAAAAGTTAAAATTTTATACTTAAAAGCTGCTTTAAGAAGCAGTAAGAAAGCCATCCTAAGGCTTCATTTGAGACAAATTTTTTTAACGTTTTCTAAAACAACTTTCTTGTACAAAATTTTTTTGAAAGCAGTGGCCAAAGTTACCCCAAACGAAGCGTAAACTAAGACTTTGTTTGAAACTGCTTTCTTATTGTTTCTAAACCAGCTTGTTAGTACAAAAAATTTTTAAACTCAAAATTTTTGTACTAGAATAAAAATTTTTTGTGCTAGAAAGTAGTAAGAAAGTTGTCCCAAATGAAACCTAAATTAATTCTAGTGAGATTATATAAATAATAGTATAGTTATGAGGTCATTGAGAAGAGGCAGCTAATAGTATTACTAAAGGCTGGAATGGTTTTCTTGGCGTGTAGAGTTCATCTAATAAGAAAACAATAATGAGAAAAATAGACAGCCAAAAAGGATGTGCTCTCTAGCCTTAATAAAATATTCATAGCAATGTGTAGAATTTCAGCCTTCATATTATCCACTTCTTCATCTCTATCATCTCTTCTCACCCAAATGATTTGGAATGACTGTTGGCTGATTATATGGGTTTGGAAAGACTGTTTGGTGATATTTATATAATTTGTCATTTATTTTGCATCATTTTATATGAACATAACAATAAGGAATTAAAATAGAAATCTAATTTACTAACATATACAAATTACAATGAGAGACAATTGCTTTGGAGCTTTTGAGATCACTTTTGTTTTTATTTTATTTTATTTTATTTATATTTTGATATTAAACAACTTATATTTGATATTTTAAAATATATTTTTATTTATTTATATATTGCTAACAACGATTGTGAAAAAGGCAATAATGATTGCCAATGAGATGATAAAAATAGTGGTGGTGGTAAGGTCAATGGTGTCGAAAGTCATTGGCGGAGGGGCAGCTACAACACTGGCAACAATATATATATATATATATATGCAAGCACTGTAAGCAAGAAAAGACATCCATCTATCTATGATATTGATTATCCTGTAGGTCAACCCTAAATGAATCAGTCTCAATCATATTAGTCTTATTTCTAGGAATTAGTCATATCACAAGCCTTTTAGGTAAGGTGGCTTTCATATCAAAAGTCGTCACTTTCTATCTGTCGGCGTACATATTATATCAATCTGTCTCTTTATGCATCCATTTTCATATCATTTAGGATTATACCACAAACTTTATTTCAAAAGAAAGCCCGTTAGCCCATTTTAATGTACATGATAACATGTCTCCTGCTAACCTGAATAAGTCAATCATTGTTGACAAGTCTTTCTCACATATAAATATTTCACAACATATATAACATAGTAAAAAAGTTATATTATGCTAAATGTTTAGTTCAGTGTATTATTTTAATGCATGTAAAATTTGTATATAAATCAAAATTAGTGAAATTAATAAAAAATACATTGTGAACTTATTCACCATGTATGAACCCACATTACATGAATTAACAAATATGAATGCTATACACTGGTATTATAAGATTTTGACAATTATTTATCTTATTTTTATATTTATCTAAATTTTCCAAATTAAAATTTATAAAATATTAAATACTCAAAATCATTGAAATCAAAAGTAGGGTGCTGATAGCCTACTTTGAGACAAGCAACATTTTCAAGTGGAACTACTACAAAAAATGGTTCTAACACCCTCAAATCTTAGGTTTCGCTCACCTCTCTCCACTTCCTAAATTACCTATTCTATTCTCAGTTAAACGAAATGCGAAGAGAACATGCATATAAGAATTCTGTAAGCGGTTAAAAATTATTATAATAAATTATCTTAGGGATATAAATATAATTATGTTCTTTGGTTAGTTTTAAACATAAAATTTATATACTTTTTTATGTCTTAAAATTGAGGGAAGCAAAAATTATAAAAAAAATTCATAAATGACTCGTGTCTAGAACGCTCTAGTGAAATTGGTTTATGAATCGGCTACCTAACCGTCCGCTTGCTTAAGGTAAGGAATTATAATTAATTAATAAATTTCTTGTTTTCACATCTACGCTATTTATAAAATTATGAGAAATTTATTATAATTAAAAAATGAGAATATCTATTTATGCAGAAGACTTTTTGATAAATTAAATTTATAATGACTATTGAAATATTATTTGAGGGGATAAAAATTTAAACTATTCCTGCATAGGCCCACAATGACCCATCCATAAATAGTAATAAAAGCCCACTATTATTTACATTAGAAGAAGCTTTTTAAAATGTGGTAGCAGACAAGAGCCTACACAACTGGTAATCCCAAGAAATTCGAACCCTGACCATCTAGTACACTCTTTTTCCTTGGGTGGGGGAAAACGTTGGCGCAGGAAATCCAAATAATTTTGTGACATTTGTTTCTGTCTTGATGCTACCTTTCATGGTTGATTGAGCATTTTGGTTGCTTTTGTTTGGTTGTCTGGTATTTTGACTTTGGAGCTGCTACCAATTTTTGTTGGCATGGATGGTGTGGCTCAGGTTTTTAGCTCGGGCAATGATGAGGTGGATCTCCTCTCCATCTGATCGGTTTGGCTTGCTCGTAACCACTGATGGCGACAACTTGTTGATCTTCTTGTGGGATATTGTTATACTTGTCCGTTTGGATTATCTTCTTTGTGGCCTGTTGCTTACCCTTTGGATGGCCCCTATCTACTGATTGGGCAATCACAAGTTATTCGCCACTAAGTAAGCCCGATTTCTTTTGATTTTTCTTTGTTGGTTGTTTGTTTTCTTGTGACATTTTCTCTTTTTGCTTGTCATGCTTAATCCACTTTTGATTTTGCTTGTATCTTTCCCTTTTGATGGAATAAATTTTTATTATATATAAAAAAAAAACTTCGATTTCATCATTTCAAGTAAGATTCATACATTACTTAATTGTTTTCATGAACTTTGCACTATGCATAATAATCAAAATCCTAATATCAAAATTATTAAAATAAGCCTTGCCTACTGTTTTCTTCTTTCATGAACTATTTATACATATATGTTCATATATATTCACTCATTTACATAGTTGAACAACCTTTTTTTAAATAAATGTTTCATTATAAAGGCTTGCTTAATTTTTCATCTAATGATTATTCTATCTTATTGTATCAATTTTGTCATATTTTATTTATTTTAAAAATTATATTATTATAATTAAATTATTAATATCAAATATGTTAGTTAAGTTTGATTAAAGCTCAATTTTATTTTATTAAATTTTAAATATAACAAAAATTTCAATAAGTTTAACAAGATTTGAAAAATAAATTAACATATTTAAATAATATAATACACAGGCTCCATTCATTTACATCTCTACAGCTATAGTATCTGAAATACTCTCAGATGTGAAATGCAAAAGCCTTCAAACTAAACATTTTTTATTTAAAATTTTTGATTGTTTTTCTATATCCTTTTCAAAATTCGAAATTGGATTTCTCATTTATTTGGGGCATTTTTATGACATTTGCAAATTTTATTTTAATTGCGACTTTAAGTTCAGTTATTCAAGAAAGAAATTGAAATAATAATTTGCACATTGTATTATAAATTTGAATTGGTAGATTTGAGAAAAGAAAATTTAAAATATCTTCTAACTTCAGCTATGGACTTACTATTATAAAACTAATAGGAACATTATTTGCATGTGGGGGTCATTATCTCACAAAATTTTAAAATATGCAAAGTTGGGGTCATTACAAAAGTAAAATAGTTTACGAAATATATAATTAATAACATTTGTTTCTATAAGAATACTACTTGACCCTGAAAAGAATAGCCATGAATGCAATGCAACAGAGCTTAATAATAACAAACAAAAACAACAAAGAAGCAGCTCTATGAACAACAAAGATGGAATGGGCAGGGCAGATTATTTTCCTTCAAGGTAAAAATAAAGATCCAGAAGGAAACCTAATGACCTAGGATTTCGGATACCCTGTGTTGTGCGTCATGAGGGATCTCTCTGCCTGGAACCTTCACTTTCAAGAGGTTTGAATATCTGAAAAAAGTAGAAAAATAAAAAATTTAGTCACTGTAGGTTTTTTGTTTCCCAAACAGGAATTTTTTACTGCTTAGAAGATGCTTACTCCTTTGGTGTAAAAAGGTACTCATGGTCGGTGATGAAAGCAAGTAAAGCCTGGTGGAGCAGAAAAAAAGATTGTAGATATTCAAGAGGGAAAGCAAAGGAAAAGAGCTTCAAGAACAGAGATGTGGTACCTCAAATGGCAGACTTAGGAGCTCATAATATGTCCTAACACGGTCCAATCTTTGTTGAACAGCCTCATTGTCCATCGAGGGTATAGCAGCCAGAGCCTGTCACCAACAAAACTTTGGTAAAAGAAAAAATAAAAAGCTGATCAAGAACTAAGGCTTCGTTTGAGACGGCTTTTTTACTGCTTCTTAAAGCAACTTTCTAGCATAAAAATTTTATTTTTTGTATTAGAAAGTTGTTTTAAGAAGCAAGAAAAAAGCTGTCCCAGGATGACTTTCTTACTGATTCTTAAAGTAATTTTCTAGCACAAAAATAAAAAAATTTGTACTAAAAAAACTACTTTAAAAAGATTTCAGTAAAATCCACATATTCCACATAGTATGCATTTGGTGATATTTTGATATGTGAATATGTAAATAACATAAAGAAATGATGGAACAGAGAGATCAGTGTGCATAGGAATAAGCGTCTCTCTCTCTCTCTCTCTAACGTGGGCATCACTTTAAACTGAACAAGATGAATGTTATTACAATTGTTGTTCATACCAAAATATATATGGGTACAAGGTCAGAAAAATTAACAAACAAGCAAAGTAACCTTGCTGCAAAAAATAGATACAGATCAAATTTCCGCAGAATATATTATTTTTTGAAAGGAATCACATTATTCTGGTGCCAACAAACCTGCTCAAGTGCGATAGAATTTCTGCATATCTGCTGGACACCAAGTAGATTAATCGATTTCATTTCACCAAGAACCTGATTAATGGTTTTCAGACATTGATAACCAACAATTAATGAGCACAAGCAAGGCAGATTACATTTTTCAACTACATTTTTAACAAAATGCTAAACCTGGACAGAAGTGTTTGCTGCAATACTGCTTATTCCACCAAATATATAGTTTCTCTTCCATTCGGCAACAAATGGTGCCACTTCCTCATCCCTACGTGTAATCTGCAAGTATAAGATGATTTTATCACAGCCAGGGAAAACATTATATCAAAGTTTTGCTGAAAATCATGCATTAGAACGCATTACTTTTTACAATGCAACCTAAATTCTCAATGAAAATCATGCATTAGAGTGGGAAGTGGATCGGGTGAAGGCGCTGAAGACCTTCGATCGTGTGGAGTGTGCTTGCATGAAGGATCGGAGACGCAAGCGTGGTTGCATGTCTTAGGTAGTCGAGAGCGTGCAACAGGCCGGGTTGAGGCAGCAATCGGTCTGATCGCACAGGGTAGGTTTGAATGGAAGCGAGAGCAGTGGATACGGGAGACCTTCGGCGTGAGGTGGGTTCGGCCCGTGTGTGTGTGGGATTGGGAGTAATTGAAATTAGTGTTTTCTTGTTCCAGTTCCCTGTTATTTATAGATCGATTAATCGTATTGTATCGAATAGATGTATTCCTTTCTACAAGCGTTGTATCTGTTTGCTTTTCTCTCTTTTTTTTGAATCAGTGCATTTGTTCATCTCTTCTCTTTCTTTTTATTTTAAATTAGCTAAAAATATAATTATTCATAAGTTGTTTGTTTGGATGCAAATCAATTACAAAGATTCTTTTTTACATAAGCGGGTGGTGACAACAACAAGTAGCAGCGCTGGGTGACGGGGTAATGGTTGTCAGCTTAAGTATTTGATGATTAACAATGATGGTAGATGGCGATGGTCAGTTGAGGATGGTGGTTGAGGTGGATGGTGGCCGCAGGAGGTAGGCGGCAACTGTGGTTGGGGAAGGTGAAGCATTTTATTTGAAAAGCATCTTTGGAATACATAAAAAATAAACAAAAGAATGAACCTCATATACATCAACAAATTACTTTTGATTAAATCAAACTCTAAAATTTTCAAAAATTTTGCTTTTTTTACTATAAACTCAAAATACTTCAAACAAAACAACACCTAAGATAGTCAATTGAACTTGAATGCTAAGTAAATCAATGAAAATTAAGAAAATAGGGTCAAAAAAGCCAAAAATGATAATGTGAACAAAAAAAAAATGCAGTTGCAATTCCAGCTTGGGACAAACTAACTTACAAACCAAACTGCATTAAAACATAAGCAGCAGAGGATAATCACAAACATACTTTAAGAAGATTTTGCACATACCCTCTCTTCCAATGGTCGCCCCTAAATCAGTTCACAAGGAACTAGAGGGCCAGCTAAACTGAGGTTTCCAAGATGATAAAACATATTTTGAAGCAGTCCGAGATGTATGTGTTCATGTGAATACCAATACATGTTTGTGAGGTGTGACACACAGAAGTGCGTCAATATGTATATATTGATTCAATTTGAAATTGAATCAATATAATTTTTAACGGATCCATCTACTCTAGACAAAATAATATTGATATCCAGACAAATAGATTTTGAGTGACTATTGAGTTAATTTTGAACATAATTATTAGCCACAATCTGTTAAAATTAGGCACTATTAGGCCTAATCCTGGTGCAATATGACCCACTAACTAGGCTAAATCGACAGGAAAAGAACTACAACCTCATTTGAACTCAAATCAAAATCCAATCAGATTGCACCTACAGATAATAAAATATTAATCAATTAAATCCAATGCTAATTAAACCAAGCTTTGATCAAATATGAAAAAAGAAACGAATTTGGGCTAATTGAACCAGGAAAGTCAGTACTGAAAACTACAATTCCAAGTTTGCTTTGAGGTAGTGTTATGACATTCAACTGAGGATAGTGGAGCTTTTGGTTAGTCAAGCTCGCCAAAAAGGAAATGCTTTCTAATTTTGCTGCCTGGTAGGAACCTCATGAACAAGTAAATCTTGTATGGAGTGAGGCAGCTCTAAAGCAGATGCTAATGAGGATCTAAAGAATCTGTGGAAAGCATTCTAACTAGAGCACAAGGATCATCCAAGTTTGGACTTTGGATAGAAGATCAGTAAGCTGAAAATTGAACACATTGAAGTCAGGAAAGCAGCTAAGCAACAAAGAATCTGAGCAAAGCATCCGAACTAGAGCATCTAGATCTCCAGGGTTTAGCTAAAAGCATAGTAAGTTGAAAATTAAAGAAGCCCTTAAGTCGGGATATCCAATGAGATATGAATCAAGATCGAACTTCTTACTGCCCTAAAAGGCCACAAATTATATTGATCAAAGTTACTACATTCAACTGGTACAGCTACCTGAATAACGCGGGTCATGAAACCCATTTATCTCTAAAAGAGAGAAACGGTAAAGATTTTGAAGTTAAAAAGTAGCCAAAATGAAATGATGAAGTTGCATCATCTCTTGATAAAAAAATAATTGAACAAATTCAGAGGATATGAGATTATCTAACCTGAGAAGTCAATGATATAATGAAATCATCAGGCTCTTCTGCATCCTGATCCTCCAAATATTCCCTACTGGCCATTTCCTGCAGAAACCAATTCTTATTTCACATTACATTCATTGGAAAGATGGCATTGTGTACTATTGTTTCAGCGGTTTATATACATATGTTATGCAATAGCCTCTTACTTGCATGTGAAAAATTGTTTCCAACTGCATTTCCAATCGTAGAACCTTAAGACAATCAATTGCAAGTTTTCTGTACTCATCTGCAAGAGATGTCAAAGTCTTGGTAAGCACACTTGGAGTCCTCCTATGGTGGTTAGTCTGATAAGAATGCTTCTTGTTGTCGGAGCCAGCAGCTGGTTTTACAATAGATTCTCCAAACCTGCTTTTCATTATGTAGGTGTCCACACAAATCACTCAAGTAAACAATATAAAACAAAATCCAATCCAGAGCTAACGCAAACAAGCAAGCAATAGAATGAAATCACAATATCCTAGCAGAAATTATAAAGACTAAATGATGCAGAACCCATCGATCTAGTATTTCAAATGCACGACTAGCATGCAATGCAAAAAAGAAGCAACAAACATACAAATTTTGCAAGACACTAGCTTTAAATCTTGGACAATTATTCTCTACTTTAAATGATAATTGAAAAAAAAAAGTTTAAATCACAATTTTAATGGAAGATTCAGGCCTTCCACTAAGAATTGACCAATAAAAAAGAAAGCTTACAAAAGCCACACACAATATTAAAATCCTATGCAACAAAACAGAAATCATGAATTTAGCAAATGGGACAACTCAATATCAATTCCAATCAAAAAATAAAAAAACGTTTTGGAAGAAGGGAAAAAAGGAAGAAGATGCATAGAAGGCACAAGAAAAGCATGCTTCACACTTGTATAAAGAAATATCCACTATCAAAATTTGAACTCTCATATTTGACCAAAGAGTTAAATCACAAAAAGATACGGATTTACACATCCAAAAGAAAATTATATTCAACATATGATATTATGTGCATTGCATTTTGGACTATGAAAACATTGATTACTATTCAATTAGATAAAGGTTAGAGGGCAATACTTAAAACATCCCTCACTATCACACCCATCCTCACCATCACAATTGTCATCCATTCGTAAGCGCAAAGGCCAAAGTTAATTATTGAAGGGATAAATAAAAGAAAGCTTATTCTTTCTCCCGCCCAACTTACTCTCCCACATTCACATTATTATTATCTGATCTCTCAAATACAATGAAATAGGAATGATACAAAACTCCTCCCTATGATCTGTAGTGGTCAATGATTGTGGTCGTCTTTGTTTTGGAATTTGGATAATTTTGGAAGTGAAAGTGTGCTTTTGATGGATATTTTCTCATAGTGGTGATGAGGACATCGAAGATCAACGGCTACGATCGTGTCTATTTATTTTCATGTATTTTATTTGTTATTTGTACTTTTCCATTTCTACCCTCACTTGAGGGCTTTGCTTTATGTTTGCCCTAGGGGCAATTGCTTGTTCGTTCTACATCAAGTGGTGATATGGATCTACAATCAATAAGATTAAAATGATTAAGCTAGTTTAATTCTTCCCTGAGTCCTAGTTTGACTGACTACTAGTGATAAGATGCTTTAGTTATAAGTGAACCAGTGCACTCAATGAATAGTTAGATAATCATCTAAATAGGGCAATATTATAACATTTACAAGATTGAATAAACTTAAGAAAATATTTAAAAATTCATCACAAAAATGAACAAATTTGAACACTGACTCATTTGTTCAATTATACTCGTGAAATTCTTGTGTGTTGTTTACAAATAACTTGTAAAAAATTTGATAAAATATTTAGTTAATGAAAGCTTAATTTCTATTTGATAACTATATTATTACATCAAATTTTCAATATATTATGCACTTTAAAAATTATATATATTATTAAATGTATAAGTATGATTAAAATATCTAATATGGGAAAAAGATCAAATTAATCCCTTGACTATTTATACAACAACAACAACAACAACATCAAGCCTTTATCCTAATATGTGGGGTCGGCTACAGGAATATTTTTTTCTCCATTGTATCTGCTAAGAGTTAAATTCTCATTTAAATCTAATAATGAAAGTCATTTCTAATATTTTCTAACCAAGACTTTTTAGGTCTACCTCTACCTTTCTTAACATAAGCAAAATCTAATACATCTACTTTCCTAACTGGATCACGGATATGACCAAACCATCTAGGGGGCGACTCTCTCTAATCTTATCTTTCATTGGGGCTATTCCAACCTTTTTACGTATATGCTCATTTCATATCTTGTCTTTAAGAGTAAACCCACTCATCCACCAGAGCATCCTCATCTCTGCAACACTTAATGTTATGCTTTTCTCTTATTGGCCAACATGTTGCACCATAAAGCATTGCAGGTCTCACCATCATCTTATAGAAGATGCACCAACAAAATTGTTGGAATGTTAAACTATCATTCATTAATTAATGCTAAAAAATATCTATAAGATCCTTCCCAGATTTATTTTCCAAAGTTGCTTTTATTGTAATGAATAGTTTTTCTTTCAATTTAATACTTTTTGATATTTACCTATAATATTTTTTAATAACTTCTAATATTTTATACTAGAAGATAAGATTAGCTCAAGGATTCGAAATTGAGCATATACGTGAAAAGGTTGGAGTAGCTCCAGTGGAAGATGACATTAGAGAGAGTCGCCTTAGATGGTTTGGTCACATAAAACGTCGGCCTTCCAATGACCCGATTAGGAAAATAGATGTATTAGATTTGGATTTGGCATATGTTAGGAAAGGTAGAGGTAGACCTAAAAATACTTGGTTAGAAAATATTAGAATTGACATTTCTTTATTAGATTTAAATGAGAATTTGACTCTTAACAAGACAAAATAAAAAAAAAGGATTCATGTAGCTCACCCCACGTAGCGGGATAAAGGCTTGATGTTGTTTTTGTTCTAATATTTTATACTATATTTAAAATAGCACGCACTGTGTTGTATGTTATATGCTTGGCTAACCTTTGCACTATGATGCGGTATTCACTATTGAAAAGTATGAATGGATGAATGAAAAATTAAGAATAAATTAAGAAGCAATCGTATTAGAACGATGGTAGCAGTAGCATCTATATAATGTAAGATAATGAAAAATATGCATAGTAGATTTGGGCAATTACATAGAAAGGTAGAAGATGCACCAACAAAATTGATAAAATAGATGTTGAAGGATTATGAAAGAAAAGGTAACATAGATACAAATTTTGTTAAAAAAATTGTGTAAAATAGGCTTAACATGATGTGGCACTTATACATTGGCAAATGGAGGTTGAGGATCATAAAGACAAACATAAACAGTGGGATTAAGTCTAATGATGTTGATAATTAACAGAAAGAATGCCCATCAGTTATTGAGGAATCAAGGAAATGAATGTTGTTGTATGATACTCAAAAGCACATACTTGATAAATAATGTAACACTCTATCAAGATGCCAAGCCTCAATTAATTATGAAAGATTAATTCGGTAATTATCATTTACCACCCCTAAGGTTTACCTAATTATCATATACCCCTTAAGAATTGGCAAAATATCAAAACCTTCTTAATATTAACTTTCCACCCATCTTATGTTAAATCAAAGGTAAGTGAGACACTCATCATATAAAATTATTTTCTATTAATTTTTTGAATTGTTCAAATAATCAATTAAATTATTTTGAAGTAAAGACAAAGAAATTGTCATTTGATTTTCTTTTCATTTTTTGGTTTCTTTCATGTGTGATTAAGCTTTTATGATTATGAGTTCGGATTAAATTAACTGCGTAGACCCAATGGCCGCAATTTTAGGGTTTAACATTCAATTTTTTTAAAAAATGTTAAATGGTTAGCTTGCCCATTGATTTAATGGAAGTTTACTGAAAAGTTTAACATAAAAGATGCGTTCATTATTTTGCCCAACCTCAGCGAAAATGATAGCAAGCTAAACCTCAAGGAGGTAAATGACAATCACCTAGATTAATGTCATAAACTAAGATCCACATGGACAATTAGTCATAGGACGAGCATCATTTAGTTGGACGATAATAACAAATATTTCACTCTATTATATAACAGATTTGTTTTCATAGACAGGATTTAAAACAACTCAGGTAATTGGATCAAGAAATATCCAAAACAAAAATATCTAACACAGAAGTGCTATTGGATAAAAATGGAAAGCATAAAAATGACACGAGCTTTTCTCAGTATATTGGTTTGATATACCGTGCCCCTGCAGTGCTCCTAATACTAGAGTCATGGAATTAGGCCTTGCTCGGATTTCTGCAAACATAAACTTATATTTTTTTGGGGCAGGTTAAGAAAGCATGGAAAACAGCATAACCAAACAGAGGAAGCTTTTTTCATCCCTCAGCACCCCCCCAACACACAAAAAAAGAAAGAAAAAGAAAAAGAAAAAAAAAAGAAACACAAACATCCCCACCCCAACCATTGGAGAAGCAAAACCCAAGTAGACACTATATGACACAACTATAGCTCCTGTAAACCTAATTAAAGCATGTTCAGTAAAGATAACAATACTATGACATATACAACGGTACATAAAGCAACTAAGTTGACAATATTAGGATATGCCAAAAAATATCAAAACAAAATGATATGATAGCAAGCTCTCTCTGATTAAGTATGTCCTCATATTATACAAGAAAATTAAAAGTGCTTTATTTAAATTCATTGATTTAACATAAAAGAAGGACACTTATAATGAGAACAAAGAGTTCCATACCAAAAACATCATCAGGTAAGATCGTGCAATCTAAAAAAAAAAAAGAAAATAAATATGAGAGCACCAAGTGAAAAACAGACAGTAATTTCCTTGTTACCTTTCAACAGAATCGGCTAAGAATTCCAGGGAGTCGCTAAGGGATGCCAATAAAATGACTTTATTATCATCATGGATCAAATTCTCCTGAACGCAGAACAAAACAATTCAGAATAATCATGATTAGTGTATAATGAAATTTTATCGACCATGTCAATGACACAACCAACTAATACCGTAGCATTTCATTAAATTTATTTTTCCATGCATCTTAACCATATATGACCAATATATATAAAACATTAAGGAACTCCTTGCATGCAAGGATTTTGGAGTGCAACCAAACCTCAGTTATGGAAAACAGGAGCTACAATTTTTTCCTTAACATTGGGTTGTAATTATAGTGTTTAAGTCAAACTAAAATAAAAATAAATAAATAAAATGCAGTTTTTAGTAATACAACAGCATAATCAAAATATTACACCTCAGATTTCAAACTCTAATTAAGGGCAGTTTGCCAGTTTGGGATCTTTTTTTTTTTTCATTTTTATTTATATTTTGACAAAAAATAAACTAAGTTCGGCATCTTAAAATCATGTTGTTTTTATTTTTATTGAATATTGAATAAGTTGATTTTAACAATGGGGGCAGAGGTTACTGGAGCAGGACTAGTGGTGGTCGTTGAGACAATGAAGGTAGAACTTGTCATCAGTGGCAGCAGTGGATGACTGTGGCAATTGTGATGATAATTGTTTTAAAAAATACTCAAAGCACCTCAAAGTTATTTTGAGAGTTTTTAAACCAACTTGCTTTTTAAAAATAAAATAAAATCAGTTTAAAAACACTCAACAAACATATTTTTTGAAAACAAAAACAAAAGTAAACCCAAAGAAGCCCCAAGTGTTTCAGGACATTGGAATTATCTGGCTGCAAGAGTACAATCTCCAATTTGAACTCGCCTTAAGGGAGTAGTAAAATCACATGATGTTAGCAGCGTGATCTCCAAGCTCTACTATGCTAATTGCCCATCAGCCCAAATGAAGCCTAAATAGTTTGAAACTGGTGTGTGAGGATTCAAAAGTTTAGAACAAACTATGCATGTTTTTCCATCATTATGAGATGAATTTTAATATCAAACCCTGTTTGTCGAATTCAAGTTGGATGGTTGAAGTGGAGGAATGCATCAAGCTTGTGTTGTGATAGAAAAATACCCCTCAAACTTAAGGGAAAATTCTATAAGATGGTGATGAGACCTACAATGCTTTATGGCGTAGAATGTTGTCCATTAAAAGAGAAACATAAAATTAATTTAAGCATTGTAGAGATGAGGATGCTCAAGTGAATGAGTGGCTTTACTCTTAGAGACAAAATACAAAACGAGATATACATGAAAAGGTTGGAATAGCTCTAGTGACATATAAGATTAGGGAGAGCCATCTTCGATGGTTTGGTCACATAAAATGTCAAACTTCTGATTATGAGAGTAGATGTATTAGATTTGACCTAAAAAAGACTGGGTTATAAAATATTAAAATGAAATATTTTATTAGATTAAATAAGAATTTGATTATTAACAGGATACAATGGAGAAAAAAGATTCATGTAGAAACCCATGTGGGATAAAAACTTGTTGTTAACCATGTGGGTATAAAAACTTTGTTGTTATTGAGTTTGTTTGATGATTATATGGTGTTGTGGGGTGTGTGTGTGTGTGTGTGTGGGGGGGGGGGGGGGGGGGTCAAAACAAGTTGGGATTTATTTTTGTAAGCTTGCCTACTTAAGTCAGCTCATTAATGATGAGCTACTATCTAATCAGCTCATTAATGCAATTAATTAGATTCATTTCCCCTTGTGGCTATTAGGTTTCTTCCCTTGGCTGCCTTTACCTCTTCCCCTTCTTGTGTCTCCTTGGTTTCTCCTTGTGTTGTCCCGTGAACTGATGCTAGGTGCTGGTTGCCTTTTCGGTTTTCCCCCTGGCTTCTTTCCCGTGATTTCCCCTTCCCGGTTCCTGTATTGCCTGCTCGTTTTGCTCCCTGGCTGCCTTCCCGTGGCTTCTCAAGCCAGGTTTCTGTGTTGGCTCTTCGGGTCCCTCCCTAGCTATGTTCGAGTGGCTTCTCCTACCCGGTTCCTGTGCTGATTCTTTTGGGAGTTGTTTTGTGATAACAGCTGCTCTTCCTCTTCCCCTTAGCTGATTGGTTTAAATGGGATTTTATGTGGCTGTTTGGCTCCCTTTTCTCTTCTATAAATATAAGGTGTTTGGGCTAAGTTAGAGTTTTTTTTAGTGAAGGATATGATGTTATTTTTGGGAGCCTAAACCTGCGGGTTTTGTCGTGGAAAAGCTTGAGAGCTTGTTCCACCTCTTCCTCTTCTCCTCTTTATAGCTTGCGAGCTATGTTTCGTCTCGGCTTCTAATCTCTTTCTTCTCGCCATAAGTGACCGCCCCACATGTATCCTTCTTCTAGACGAATGCAAGCTCCTTTAGGTGTCTTTATTTTGTCGTTTATAAGTGTCAAAGTTTGTAAGTCCTCTTATATTATCAAAGTGAAATCGTTTTTGTTTTAAATGTTGTACTTTGTTTAATTTTTTAGAATTTTGTATCATTTCTATTTCCTAGGAAGGTTTAGTTTTTGCTTGCAAAAATTTGGGGCTTTTCCCAAATTTTTGCTTGCATCAATTTGGTATCAGAGCAGGTTTGTCGAGTGAGTCTTGGTGAGTCATAACAGTTGTTGTGTGAGTCTTGTTATCAATTGATTTAAGTTTTGTTGAGTCTTCTTTTAGAAAAAAATGGAAAACCACAAAAATAGTGATCCAATGGTGGATGAAAATCAGTTCGAAGATCACGAAGAAATTATTCCAATGGACAAATGTGTTCCGACAGATGGAAGTTCAATAGATCCCATATAGAATGAACTATACAAACTTCAATCGAGGATGCATATGTGTACAGAACTATATATGAAGAAAAAGAAATTTTTTCAAGAACAGTTTAAGAAAGAGCGAGAAGAAATCCTGAAGAATTACAAAAACAAGATTCAAGAGCTTGATGCACTTCCTTCATTTCGTCTGATCAAATCTAAAGCAGCCTCATCGGGAGATGAGTTCTTTCAGCCGGAGGAGAATTGATGTAGGCAAGAGGGGGGGGGGGGGGAAAATTCTATAAGATGGTAGTGAGGCCTGCAATGCTTTATGGTGCCGAATGTTGGCCTTTAAAAGAGAAGCATAATACTAAGTTAAGTGTGGCAGAGATGGGATGCTCAGGTGGATGAGTGGCTTTACCCTTAGAGATAGGATACGAAATGAGCATATACGTGAAAAGGTTGGAGTAGCTCTAGTAGAAGATAAGATTAGAGAATGTCGCCTTAGATGGTTTGGTCACATAAAACGGCGGCCTTGCGATGACCCGGTTAGGAGAGTAGAGGTATTAGATTTGGCTTATGTTAAGAAAGGTAGGGGCAGACCTAAAAAGACTTGGATAGAAAATATTAGGAATGACATTTCTTTATTAGATTTAAACGAGAATTTGACTTTTAATAGGACACAATGGAGAAAAAGGATTCATGTAGCCGACCCCACGTAGTGGGATAAAGGCTTGATGTTGTTGTTGTTGTTATTGTTGTAAGCTTCTACTTAAGTCAGCTCATTTATGATGAGCTACTCTAATCAGCTCATTAATGCAATTAATTAGATTCATTTCCCCTTGTGGCTCTTAGGTTTCTTCCCTTGGCTGCCTTTACCTCTTCCCCTTCTTGTGTCTCCTTGGTTTCTCCTTGTGTTGTCCCGTGAATTGATGCTAGGTGTTGGTTGCCTTTTCGGTTTTCCCCCTGGCTGCTTTCTCGTGAATTCCCCTTCCCGGTTCCTGTATTGCCTGCTCGGTTTGCTCCCTGGCTGCCTTCCCGTGGCTTCTCCAGCCCGGTTTCTATGTTGGCTCTTCGGGTTCCTCCTTGGTTGTGTTCCCGTGGCTTCTCCTACCCAGTTCCTGTGCTGATTCTTTTGAGAGTTGTTTTGTGATAACAGATGCCCTTCCTCTTCCCCTTAGCTGATTGGTTTAAATGGGATTTTATGTGGTTGTTTGGCTCCCCTTTCTCTTTCTATAAATATAAGGTGTTTGGGCAAAGTTAGAGTTTTTTTAGTGAAGGATATGATGTTATTTTTGGGAGCCAAAACCTGCGGGTTTCATCGTGAAAAAGCTTGAGAGCTTGTTCTACCTCTTCTTATTCTCCTCTCTATAGCTTGCGAGCTATGTTTCGTCTCGACTTCTAATATCTTTCTTCTCGCCGCAAGTGACCACCTCACCTGTATCCTTCTTCTAAACGAATGCAAGCTCCTTTAGGTGTCTTTATTTTGTCGTTTGTAAGAGTCAAAGTTTGTAAGTTCTCTTATATTATCGAAGTGAAATCGTTTTTGTTTTAAATGTTGTATTTTGTCTAATTTTTTGGGAATTTTGTGACATTTCTATTTCCTAGGATGGTTTAGTTTTTGCTTGCAAAAATTTGGGGAAAGTCCCAAATTTTTGCTTGCATCATTATAAGTAAAAATCAAGGTTACGCACTGGAAGCATAGAATCAAGAGTCGTGACTTTTAAAAGAAGAACTAACCTTTTTAGAAAATTTTTTATAATGACCCATCTATTGTTGGACATTAGAATTTTCATGGCATGAGTTGTAACTGTAAAACATATTCTTATCTCCTACCATATGATCTAATGCTCTCGATTTATTGTCTAGGTAGTAGTTTTTTTTTGTTCTTTGAAAACATAGCATCCAAGAATTTCTCTTTCTAAGAACTCAAACTACTTCCAATGGTTTTCTAGAATAAGCTTCTATTAAGACAAAGTTAGTTCTCTTCAGTTGTTGCCCAGACGGCAGAAAAATGAAGGAGATAACTGCTGCACTTTTTCTTTCTAGTTATTTCTAATAGAAGTTTTTCAATCCAATATTTCTTCATGGAGTTTAAATGTTTTGAATTTGGATTTTCCATTCTGAGTTGATTTCTAGCGTTGGAGTTGCCAACTTCTTAAAAACTGTCTTCTTCGTCTCAGTTGCCATCATCTTATTTCCAAAAGATTCTTCACATACATTTTTGCAACTCTTGTTAGCTGAGAACTGGGTTTCAGTGTTGGTAAATGACTTGTTGACATGGAGACACTCCATATTGAAGGACCCTTCATCCTCACAAGAAGTCCTCAATGGTTTTAATATCATCTTGAAAATTAGAATGAGAAGAAATGAGAGTAGAAAACAGGAGATTGTATGATTATATTTATTCTCTTATACTATATAAGAACAACATGAGAAGTTATAAAGTAATAACTATAAATCTAGAAATCAATCTTTTATTCAAGAACCCAGAATTAACTAAATAATAGAAATGGAATGCTGATGTCCCCAAATCCCTAGATTGTTGTAGATGAAAATCTATAGTCAACGGATTGCTGGTTTATTATAGATGAAAAATTGTTATTCATGAATTGCTACATTGTTATAGATGAAAAGCTAAATTATTGGGTAGTTATAGATGAAAAAGTGATGTCCACCAATTCAATATTATTACAACAATACCTTACATGAGTTTTTTAAAAATATTTAATAATAATAAAACCCAAATTAGATGAAATAATCAAAACTGAAATATGATGGAATCAAAAGAAAAACAAATAATTCAGCTTTAAAACCTTGATTGCAGCCCCTTTTCATTATTCATTTGCAATTACATTTTTTTTTTCTCTTCACTCTCTTAATACATCTTAAACATGATGAGGACAACTTGATGTTACTTCGCAACACTTGAGAGGTCAACTTGCAAGTAAGATGAAGCGATTGTGCTTGGCTGACTGCAATTTAAATAAGTGAATTTGACCAAAGAATAATGACTTTGTTAAGAAGACCACCAGTGTAAGAGCCGGTTCAATCAATTCAATGGAACCGGCCCTAAACCTAACTGGGCAAAGTAGGCAGCGAGCAAGCGGTGAACCGTGCAAGCCGAAGACAGGGGCAGGCGCAGCTGGCAAGTTTAATTGCGCGTGCGAGCAAGGTGGAGTGTTCAGAATCGAAAAGCAGCAACTCCTTGTGAAGGATAAAAACTATTTGTTTACTCCAGTGGAATTAAATGAACAAACAAAAGCTGTGTCGAGATAAAGTCGTGCTGAGAGGAAAAAGAAGGAATGTTGATTTTTTTCATTTTTTTGCATTATCTTTCATGATTTAAAACTAAGAAAGGGGTCAATGTCTAAATTTATCAAGTCACAGAGTTCATGTTCGAGCCGATACTCAAGCTCGTATTTTAAATAAGCTTGAGCTCGAACTCAACCTGACTCGGCTTGAAAGCCAGTCATTTAAATTTGGAAGAGAAAGGGGAAGAATTTGGGGTTTTTGAAGTTTCTTCCATTCGTTGACGATGGAGGAATGAGTGAGTGATTAATTTATGCTCAATTTAGATAAGAAATTTACATAATTTCATTTCTCTAATTAAAGAAATAATATGTCTTTGTCGATAGGAAGAATCAATTGATCTGAGTCTTGATTCGATAGTGAAGGAGGGGAAGATCAATTGAGGTAAATATATTTTCCTCTTTAAGAATATTTAACTTTTAATTATATTAGAATTTAACAACAGTGTTGCAAACATAATTATGATTTGACAAATAAGAAGCATTCCATATAGTTATATAGATGATGCCCAACACCTTTGAAGTTGTTCTTAAAGATGCCAAATCAATTTAATGTTATCTTGACGACATTAATCTTAGTAAAGTTATTTAGCAATGATTAATGCAATTGAAAATTATTTGGAACAGTTAAGGATTTAAACTATTGAATGAAGGTGAAGTGCTGAAGCTAATAAAGGGTCTCAAAAGAAAATTTAGGTAAGATTGCATATATATTAAGGAAGCAATTATGTGAAATTAATAAAAGTTAGAGAAAAGATAATAATGCAAATTTATGAAATTGTGTGCGTGACTTTAGGTTGCATTAAGGAAGGCTATTTCTAGGATAAATGATTTGAAAGGAATTGAATTACGAAAGTAATCAAAAAGGGTAATTACAGTTGTTTTATAGCAATTACATTCTTTTATTTTTATTTCAATTTTAATACAATATCATGCTTATTTATTTATTATATTTAAATTTCTATTATGTCCAAAATGATGAAGGATTAACAAATAAATTTACAATGCAATATGAATCTATATGTGTGCATGAAAAGTGTATATATCGTTTAAAAAGCATGTAAAGGAAAAATGAAACGAATAAAGACCTTATAACATGTAAATGAAAAGTTAATAGGAAAAAGGAAAAATGTGAATGCATGCAAATACATGAGTTCACCACTTTATAATATTGGCTGGGGGTGCAACATACTTGTACACATTAAATGAAAAAAGAAATGAAAATGAAAATTGTTGTATCTTCATTCGTGCAAATTTTAGATGGAGCTCCTGTACTAAATGAAAGGGAAAAAGAATAAATAAATAAATAAAACAGAAAAAGATTATGTGAAAGGCAAATTATAAAAATCTACTGTATATAAAATATCATGTATACATTAACTGTGTAAGGAAGACAAAGGAAAAAAATTTAATTTTTTATGTATGTTTAACTGTCATATTATAAGTTGTGATTATCCACCGTGTAAACTCAAACTTTTAAACATAATTTTTAGGTAAATCTTCTGAAAAATAAAATGATTGAAGGAGAATGATATGTCTACAGAAGAAGACAATCGAATGGAAACATGAAAAATATGGTTTACGTATATATTCAAATTTTCTAAGTTTGTTAATGGCTCTTCAGTCTTATATGGGATGTTAGTTGTTAATTATTCATGGATTTGAAAGAAATATATTAACTGTCCGACCGTCTATTACCACCTCGTTAATTTGAAACTTTGGGCCGGTCCGTGACAAACGGCTACCATCGGGTTTAAAAGGGAGTTGATGCATGTAGCCTTACCTTTGCACTGCATATACGAAACGTGGTTCAGACTCATGACCTTAATGTCATCATAGAGGCAATCACAAGGCAATTTTATCTACACATGTTAAAACAAGGAATGTATATTTGACATGCTTAGAAATCTGCTAAGCACCCTTTACGAGGGAAGAAAATACTTGAAGTGACCTGTCACGTTGTGGAATACACTTCTGATTTAGCAAGCCCAAAGACAATCAATCAAATTGAATTTAATAAAGTAATTCTATTCAATAATTGCATAAAACTCAAAAAGTACTGCCTATAATTTCAAGATTTAAGGCAAAAAGAGGAATTAAGGTTTTATAAACTTATTGCAAAAATAATCCATAGAAAGTAACCATAAAATGAGGAAATCCACTTGGTGCAGTAGTTGAATAATTGTATACAAAATTAAACCTGTTTAATTGGCCTTAAACTCAGCAATATATTGCTCATTTCTCTGTCAGCTTCAATACTCTCTGTATCTGATACACTGTTTTCCATCATTGGCCCATATGAGTTTTGAAACCAAGAATTGGCTGGGTCTAATCTCATCAACTTCTCAACATCACTCCTTCCAAGAAGCAAATAACTCTGCTTTTCTAAAACAGCCTGATGATGCCTCATAAGAAAAAGAAACAGCATCCAATTAATATTGTTTAAAACATAAATTTTAAATTGCAAATTCAGAAATCCAATTTATTTTTGGGATAAGAATGGTATAACAAAAAGTGAGTCATTTCTGATAGTTGAAACCAAAAGAGAAATTTTAAATTGTTTACACTATCACTTTTATTATAAATTTTCACAAACGCAGCTTATCCTTCACAACTCTGGCATTGTAGTAATAATTAATTAGCTATACGAAATCTTTTTCAAATAATTAATTATTAGCGTCATGAAAATTGTCCCTGCTAATGTCTTCGTACAAAGCCAATAACTCTATAACGAACTTATACAATATCGAACCCCACACACCCTTGCATGCTCAAGCAACATAATCTGACATCCTTATTTATTTTCTGCTTCGTTCTATGGAGGTGAATCATCCGGCTCAGCAAATCATCCAAAAAGGAAACTGATTTCTCAAACAATTCTACCTCACTTACGTATTCACATTTTGAATTATGTCATATATCTCATATACTTTAGTGAGTTCCAAAATTAAAGAACATGTTGCATTTAATAAAAGGGTAGGCTGTACCTGGCATCACCCATCTGCCTGGAACTCAATGAGGCATTGTCTTTATTTTTTCTTGTCTACAACATAAGTCAGTGCATATGATTATTACATTATATTAACATATACGTAACCAAAATGGAAGGGGAACATACGATTATTAGTTATGTCTCAATTATTTAAAGCCAGCTTCATGAACTCATTTTTCATTAATTCATATTTAGTGTTATATGAGGTCTTAAACATGTTATGTAAAAATTTATTAGAACTTTAAGTTTACCAATTTTCCTTCATAATCATTTTACAGTAGTTTTATTTACTCATCCAATTGGTATATATTCTAATTGCACTAATTCAAATCATCTAAGTCAATTTTCCAATACCTTATTTCAATAGATATTACTCCCACCATCCATCTAATATAATATTCCTTAATTTATTCTTCCTAATTTTGCAACATATTCATCTTAGCATTCTCACTTCTATCATGCTTAACTTGGCTATCAATAAAATTTTACTATCCAACAACTAATTGTTACTATATAAAATTGAGCAAGCCTAATTATTGCTATGTAAATCTTTCATCAAAATCTCCATAATATTCCCATTTCACAAAAAAAAAATATTGTTGAGATGATTCTCCATTTTAACCATGCATTATTAACCCTAGAAGTTATATACACATTTATATTCTAATCTTTTATATAATAGGTCCAAGATACTTAAATTCATCACACCTAGCTATTATCTAATCTTTTAATAATATTTTATACATAATTATTATTATCACAAGTTCTTAAATTATATATCATATAATTAGTCATTATTCGATAATCTTAATTTAACACTACCATTGCTAGGTCCCAAGACGTGAATGAGAAAAGTGGAGGGTTGTGTTAGGTAGTCGACAATCAAAATAAAATTTGTCGAACACTCATGACATAAATTCTTTAATACATAGTATTAATGCTAGGGTGTTCCCTGGAAGTGGCGTGCTATATGGCTTGAATATAACAAGAAGCATACAAGAGTCGTTGCATCGTAGCCCGAGTGCAGTGTAAAATAAGCAAGAGTTTTCACATTATGGACGGATGTGGATAAAGAAGCTAGTCCATGAAACTAGAATTGTGATATAAACTTGAAATATTTATAGACAAAGTAATGAAGTTAATGATATTGTGATTCATCGAAAGATAAATTTTTTATGCATGCAGAAAATTAAATGGATTGAAGAGAAGGCTAAGCAGATTAATAGTTTAGTATTTAAACTATGATATTCAAATAGGAGTCATACTAGAAATGATGTAAGTGTGATTATAGATAAGAGTTTGAAGGATAATGTTATAAAAATTAATAGAATTAGAGATAGAATTATAGTTTTAAAAATTGGTGTTAATGTTAAAATTACTAATATTAAAAGTTCTTATGCTCCTCAAATAGGTTTGAATGTGTATTTAAAATTTAAATTTTAGAATGACTTAGAAAAATTAATATAAACGATGCCTCTTGAAGAAAGTGATAGAAGATTTTAAAAGCATGGTAGAGTGATAAAAGAATTTAAAAGCATTCATAATGACTATAGGTTTGAATCGACTAATGAAGGTGATAAGGTCATATTAGATTTTGCACTAACTTATGATTTTGAACTTGCTAGTACCTTACTTAAGAAAATAGAGGAGCATCTTATCACTTACAAAAATAAATATAATAAAACTCAAATTGATTATTTTTTTATATGAAAAATAAATTGTTTAGATTACAAATATTGTAAAATCATTCAAAGTGAAAATTTGCATACCAAGCATGCTTATTAGTTTTGGAATTTAAGATTAAGGAACAAAATATGAAAAATAAAGTAAATTGTTGCCATAGGATTAGACAGGAGAGTTTATAAAATGCTAGCAAAAAAAAATTTAATAATAAGATTCAATATCTCAAGATTTTGAATGTGCACGAGCAAGCTAATGTGATATGGAAAAAAAATATCTAGTTATATTAAGAATGTGAGAATACGATTGGATTTGGTGACCTTAGCACCCTGAACTAAAATAGAGATTTTTTTTTTTATCGTCATATTAGTAAAACCAAAGTTAGAGACTTCAAGAAATATGAAGTGTAAAAAAAAAGTTTGAACCGATATATTCCAATAGAGGTCTGAAAATGCTTAGGAGATGAACAAATTTCTTAACTTATAAAATTTTCAATATTATTTTGAAGACTAAAAAGATGGCAAATGAGTAGAGTGTGTTGATTCCTATTTTTAAAAATAAAGGTCATACACGAGTGTTCGAATTATAGAGTAATTAAGTTAATGTGTCATAATTTAAAATTATGGGAGAGAGTTATTGAGCATAAATTATGATGTGATACTAATATTTCTCAGAATCAATTTGGATACATGCTTGGTGGGTCTACTATGGAAGCTACACATTTATTGAGAGGTTTGATGGAGAAGTATAGAGAGAATAAGGAGGATCTACATATGATATTTATTGATTTAGAGAAAGCATATCATAAATTTCCAAGAGAAGTGCTCCAGAGAGCTCTAGAAAAGAAAGGAGTTCATAATGCTTATATTCAAGTCATTAAGCATTATTGCGGGCTAGAATATACATGGCGATAGAGTTATAATCCTATGTATTAGCGTTGCACGGATATCCAGCTCACACACAGAGAACACAAGATTTTTTACATGGAAAACACTAGAAAGGGGAAAAACCACGAGGCCTGACCCAATTGAAAATGATTCCACTGAAATTCGAGTAGATTACAGTGGGCCGATTTGTCTCTAAGAGCGATCAAATTACAAATGCCAACCATATGGTTGAAATTTAGTGACAAACAAGGAAGAAAGTCCAGCGTCACTTAGTGGACTGGCGGAAGTCCGACGTTACTTAAAAAAATTCGAGCGTCATTTGGTAGTCTGGCGGTGGTTTGGTAGAACTCCGGCGTCATGCAATGGTCTGATAGAACTCCGGTGTCGGGCGGTGGTTCGACAGAACTCCAGGCATTAGGTGGTGGTCCGGCGGGACTCCGAGGATCAGGTGGTGGTCCGGCAAAACTCCGGGCGTTAGGTGGTGGTCCGACGGAACTCCAGGCATCAGGTGGTGGTCGGTCCGGCGGTACTCCGGGCATTAGGTGTTGGTCTGATGGAGCTCCAGGTGTTAGGTGGTGGTCCGGCGGAACTTCGCGGGTCAGGTGGTGGTCCGGTGGAACTCAAGGCGTCAGGTGGTGGTCCAGCGGAGCTCAGGGCATCAAGTGGTGGTCCGGCGAAGCTCAGGGTGTCAGGTGGTGGTCCGACATAACTCAGGTAGTGGTCGAGGAGGCAAGGAGGCAATAGCGATCTCCGATCTCTCTCTTTTTTATTAGGCTAAAGGGTCCCTTTTCAAGAGGAAGGATGGCTCTATTTATAGATTTCCTGGAGTGGCATAGCCCGTAAATAGGATGAAGATCAAGCTTAAATAGGGAGTGGTTTGGATGGACGGACGATGTTGAATCCCTTAATCGTGGACAGTTTGCTTGACGTATGAAGGTCTTAATGGTGTTGCAATTCCGTGATCTCGGGTTCGTTGGATTCGTCTCGTTGAGCTGCTCGCTTTGACTATAGGCATGTCACGTTTGGAAACCGTTTGGTAATCCAAATTGCGGTTCAAACCTTCCAACAATACTTCGGGCCCTTGATTTGGACCAATTTGGGCTCAGATTGAGTCGAATTTGGTGTTGTTGGGTTCGTATTTTTGAAACGTTCAGTTCGACTATAAGTTCGCTGAAATCGGTGTTCGGATGGTCCCAATCTTAATTTTGGAAGTTTCCAACCAGATTTTGCCTTAAGATTCGTGCCCGATCATGATAATTTTTTGATGATGTATCAAGGATATATATGTAGAAGCCGGTAATTGTGTTCAATCACAAGGTGTTTTGACCAAGTATTTTCCTATTTCAATTGAATTGCATCAACAACTTCACCTTGATTTTTTAGTCCCACATCACCTATATATTATATGTTAGCATTCCTTATGTCTATATAAGCTTTTTGACTCACATATGTAAAGAAGTCACATGGTATGTTGGACCATGTGATAAAATACTGTTGATGCTTGTTTAACTAAAATATATAAAATTTAAATTAATTTATTAAGTAAAATATTTAATAAAAATTTTATTAAATTATTTTATTTAATTAAATATTTATCAAACCAATTTTTGAAAACTGGCACCAGGTTGTCATTTAACCGGTTGAATAGCCGGTTCTAGGCAGTTTAAGTTGGTTCATGTCTAAAGTGGTTTTGATAATATTCTGGATTGGCAGGCGGACCGATTCACGATTTAATCGGTTGAACCGGCCGGCTGGTTCGGTTTTTAAAAAATTAGAAATCAAGATTAATAGTTGAATTAGAGGAATGTATTGGGCATATTGTGTGATAGAAAAGTACCCCTCAAGCATAAGGGAAAATTCTATAAGATGGTGGTGAGAGTTGAAATGATTTATGTAGCATAATGTTAGCCATTAAAAGAGAATTATTAAATTAAGTTCAGAGATGAGGACGCTCAGGTGGATGAACGGCTTTACTCTTAGAAACTGAATATGAAACAAGTATACACAAGAAAAGGTTGGAGTAGCTCCAATGGAAGATAAGATTAGAGAGAGTCGCCTTAGATGGTTTGGTGACATAAAACACTGGCCTTCCAATGACCTGATTACGAGAGTATATGTATTAGATCTAACCTATGTTAATGTAGAGGTAAACCTAAAAGGATCTGGTTAGAAAGTGTTAGAAATTATCTTTTCTTATTAGATTTAAATAAGAATTTGACTATTAATAGGATACAATGGAGAAAAATGATTCAAATAACCAACCCCATGTAGTGGGATAAAGGCTTGTTGTTTTAGTTGTTATATTCCTTTAATCTTAAACTCTCTAACTTCTAATAATTTTATATATTTTCTAACATTTCATTTATTTCAGTAGATATGCTACTAACAACACTAACAATCTCTAAAATGCATATATCAGGCACCTCACTTTAAATATCATTTATAAGGATCTTCCTAACCAATACAAAAATCACTTTCATGGCTATTTATAATACTAGTCAATACCTTATAAACATATCATTAATAACTTCAACTGATATTTGACACACATCTATTATATTATAATGCTCATCAAATGAATTATTACGGTATTTGATTAGTTGTCTTCTCAAGATGAATAAAAATCATATAAAGATATTTTCTATGTTTTCTCTATATTTTGTATTAATTATCTTAACATCAAAACAACTTTTTTAGTGGTTCTTCTTGGCATAATACCAAATTAATTCCCTACTACAAAGAAAAAGCATATGATAAAGTTCCAAGAGAAGTGCTATGGAGAGTTCTTGAAAAGAAAGGAGTCAATAATGCTTATATTCAAATCATTAAAGATATGTATGCAGGAGAGTTCTTGAAAAGAAAGGAGTCAATAATGCTTATATTCAAATCATTAAAGATATGTATGCAGGAGCTATTACTTGTGTTCAAACACAAAGTGGATTGACCAAGTATTTCCCTATTTCGGTTGGGTTACATCAAGGATCAGCCTTAAGCCCATATCTTTTTGCTTTAGTCATGGATGTTCTCACTAGACATTTGCAAGAGGATGTACCTTGGTGTATGCTTTTTGCTGATGATATTCTTCTTGTTGATAAGACTAGAGAGGGAGTTGAAGGTAAACTTGAATTATGGAGGTCAACCTTAGAGTCTAAAGGTTTTCGCTTGAGTAGATCTAAAACGGAATATATGGAGTGTAATTTTAGTAGTAATAGACCTAGTGAGGGGATTGTGACTTTGGGCGATCAAGTCATTAATAAGAGTACACGTTTTAGATATCTTGGATCTATTATTCAGAGTGATGGTGAAATAGATGGGGATATTATCAGTAGAATTCAAGTTGAATGGTTGAAGTGGAGGAATGCATCGTGCTTGTTATGTGATAGAAATGTACCCCTCAAACTTAAGGGAAAATTCTATAAGATGGTAGTGAGGCCTGTAATGCTTTATGGTGCCGAATGTTGGCCTTTAAAAGAGAAGCATAATACTAAGTTAAGTGTGGCAGAGATGAGGATGCTCAGGTGGATGAGTGGCTTTACCCTTAGAGATAGGATACGAAATGAGCATATACGTGAAAAGGTTGGAGTAGCTCCAGTAGAAGATAAGATTAGAGAATGTCGCCTTAGATGGTTTGGTCACATAAAACGGCGGCCTTGCGATGACCCGGTTAGGAGAGTAGAGGTATTAGATTTGACTTATGTTAAAAAATGTAGGGGTAGACCTAAAAAGACTTGGTTAGAAAATATTAGGAATGATCTTTCTTTATTAGATTTAAACGAGAATTTGACTTTTAATAGAACACAATGGAGAAAAAGGATTCATGTAGCCGACCCCACGTAGTGGGATAAAGGCTTGATGTTGATGTTGTTGTTGTTGTTGTACAAATTTAGCATTTTTATTTCTCTATCTCATGACTCTCTCCTATAACTTCCTTATATGACTCATAAGTTTGATACTCTAATTATAACAAACTTGAACAATAATTTTGTTCATATATATTGGTACCAAAATCCTTCTTCATCAAACAGTTATTATACAATTATATTCAAAATTTAATTGAAAATATTTATTGACCAAATCACTCATAACTATCCAAATCTCAAAAGATATTTCATCTGGACCTATAGCTTGTATGCATCATCTTCAGAGCAAGCTCCATTGTACTATTTGGGGGTCAATTTTATTAATATACATCATTTGCATATTTTGACTCGTTAAAATAATTTCTCATGAATAGGTAGATTCAAACCATCTAGTGTCGGCTTCACAAATCCTCTTTCACTCCTACTAAAAGATATATAAAATGTTAAACCTATTTTATGCATACATTTTTGCAAAAGTACTATCCATGTTACAGTTTGCTCTAACAATCTCCTTTACTAACGCTTTGTAAATATTCTGCTTTTTCTTATATACCTAAAGCAGATAATTCTATTTTTCACAACCATACTTTTAATAGATGGCACTCCAACTATCAATTTGATAATCATTTATTAAGCTATCCTTCCTATACATGTTACACTTTAATCTTAATTTTCTCATTTTTATCACACTCAACTTGGTTACAAGTGATATTTTGACAATACAATGCTCGGGCCCTACAACAGTAGGCCTAGTAGTGATTTTATAAAATTTACCTTAGAGTCTCTTTAATATTCACTTATCTTCTATTATAACCATTTAAATCAAAATTTTATATCATCATCTAGATCCTTATTATATACATTGGTTTGTTTATTAAATACTTCTACCCTTATAATCATTGTAAGTTATAATAGTACTTGTTTCCAATCCTTAAACTCACATTAAATTGTTTTAAAAATCATTTATATCTCCCCACTCCACTGCCTTATTTAAGATCTATTCCTCGACCCTCCAAAAAGATTGGTTCAAGCATATAATTTAAATTTGCCTTCCATAACAAACTATCTTAAGAGATTAAATCCTTACCGTTAAAGTTCCACTATCCTATTCTAACACAATATTTTCACCTGATCACTGTCTTTGTAATCCTGAGATATGCATCCATAACTACTGCTTTATTTAGTGTGATTAAAAAGTTCTCCTAGAATCATCTTACAATCTTTGCAAAAGAATTTTTTTTTCCATCCATTACAAGATCTGTTAGACCAGCCCACCCTGGACCAACTCACATACACAAATGCCAGAACAAAAAGTTCGGCCCAGGAACTCTGCCTCCGCTAATTAGTGGGTGCAGCAGCGGATGGAGAGGAAATTAGGTGTGTGTGTGTGTGTGGGGGGCACAGAGGAGGGGGGGGGGGGGGGGGGGGGGGGCGGGAGGTTCTCTTGTTTAGCTGAAATTAGTTTGTTCTAAGAATTGTTTGGGCTCTACCTAGCAGCTAGGGATAGGGAGAGCTGGATCTTCCTCTAGAATTGGAGATCTATTGTATCTCTGTCATTTTCTTTCAAATTTCTTGCAATAAAAGGTTTCATGATGCTTCTTCTTCCCAATTTTATTGCGGTTCGTTGATTTGGTTGAAAGTGCACGTACTTCCCATCAAGATCATATGTTATTAGGAAAACAAGTATAGCATCTATCATTCCCTCTCCCATTTCATGGCCACTTTGAATCCACTTATGGATGGTCATCATCCTAGTTGAGCATACATGTATATTTAAGTAACCGTGAACAAGGATCTTCTCTAAATTTAATATACTTTATACGTGCTCAATCATCTCTTTCATAAACTAATTATTTAGAAGCTTCTATTTAAGCTCAAAAACATAAACATTAACCACATTTTTAATGACCACATTAATTATCAACATAAGATCAATCATATAATCAATAACCATACTCATTTGAACTTATATTTCAACAATTTATCTACTACTATCCTACCTTATTCCTATTGCTAACCCTTTCAACATACAATTTCGTATAATCTTCTCTAATACTTAATATTTTTCTTTTTCTTTTCATTTAATTTATTGCAAAAATATTCATTCTTTCTCTAATCATTGTATTAAAAAATTTCTAATCTTCCCATTTAAAGCTTCAAAGCTACATATATTGAGTAAAAACAATTTAACTTAGCATCATATCCGAACCCAGTTTCATCTTCGAACCAACTGTTCAGTAGACATGGACAATTACTATAGCAGCTTAACTGCATGGACACGTATTATCTTTCCAAATCAAATAACACGACTGGCATGTGATATTTCAGCAAAATGAAAAAGGAAAAACAAAACAACAGAGAAGGATTCAGCAAATTTTCATGTAGAATACAGTTAAACCATTAGGCTGCGTATACTTCTAATACATAGAACTGGATCGATGCATTCAGAATAACAATGATAGTTCTACATCACAACAAATCAAGCAGAAATAAGCATTCCAAACACAATGAATTTAAACACATGAAATATTCAGGTATAGATGAATACTTGGTACTCCAAAACTTTGTATCGGAAAGAAACAAAAGAACTTCTAAGAAAGCAGAGACAAGCTTGCCTAAAGTGGCAAGATCAAGATATCAAAAATGAATTACTTTGTCGCATGAAGCTATTTCAACTGAACAAGATCAATGATCAACAAAGCTCAAGAAAAAACATATAAATCAAAGATTGGGTTCCTCAAATTAATATGAACTGTCCATAAAAACATCAAATTAATTTGGCTGTAAACTGAATTCAATGCCTTTAATGCTTATACCTCTGTATATGATGTTCGACATCTCTCAAAAGCACGCTCAAGAAATGTCTGGACATATTCAATTAGCTCATTGGAATATTTTGGTATCAACCTTGCCCAGCTAAGCACCTGAAACATGCAAATAGAACTTTATTACTTCAGGCATGTATGTTGTAATATTCCATAGAAAGGGAAAAAGCTTCACCTCTTTTGCTAAGTAATCAATAGCTAATAAGCCTTGCAACACAGGTCGTCCCTGCTCTACTGACAGACTATACACTATAGCAGCATGAGCTCGTGGCCTAAAAGCTGCTGGACCTGATATGAAGTTCCGGGCAACAATATCAGCAGAATATTCAATAAAAATGAAGGTTAAAAGCACCTCAATGATAAATTTTCTAGAGTAACATAAAGTATTTAAAATATTGGTTTACATGAAAGGGCAAACATTTCGGGGGAGTAGGCAGTCAGCAAGATGAAGAAGAAGCAATTGAACAAGGATATGTTTTGTGAAATCATCCAAACTTTCTCATAAGAAAGTATTGTTGTTGTTGAATCTAGAACTATTTGTGAATCATATCCAACTACATCGAGAATATCAAGTGAAAAGAAAACAGAGAAATAGAGAGAAGAAAAGTAAAGTGAGGAGCTATGAGATTTTTATAAAATGAGATTGAATAACTGCAAAAAAATTGAACTTACCCCTGATCTATAGATTTGAATTGAGACTTGAGCATTACAGAATTGGCTACATACATGACTTAAAAGAAAATAAAAGATAAAATTTAAGAGTGTGGCTTAATTAGAATGTTCAACTTGATGAAGTAGTTCACCGAGCTCCTAAGAAGTCATTAGCTCAACATGTATTGAAAGACGAATATTCAAATACTCGATCTACAGTTTCCCATATGAAGCAAATCGACCAATTAAATAGTCATTATAGATGAATATTCAAATACTCGACCTACAGTTTTCCATATAAAGCAAATCGCCCAATCAAGTAGTCATTAAGGCCAACGTTATATATTATATTCATTATGGCCAACTTGATAGGCTGTACTCACTTAAACAAGTTCATAAATTGTAGCCACCTACTTGAGACAAGTTCATTTATAGGCTCGGGAATACCTTTTAAGTTGAAACCGAGTAGATTGAATTAGCTTAACTTGAACTGGACAAACTTGAATTCAACCTAATTTTCTATATATTTGGTTATATATTTAGTTCCCCAGTTCTCTTATATCTTTGAAGGTTTTACTGTAAAATAAAAAAAAATATATATATATTATTTACTAATTATTGATTAAACCTATATAGATGTTTATTTTAATATTAGATAATTGACAATCAAACTGATTTTGACTTCTGACATTATCCTTTTATGCAAGTCTACAAATCCTTATCCGATAAATAGCAGATCAATGTTTATCGTTCAAATACATTCCCTTCAATGTCTCACTACTCCATGAGCTCTATAACTCTTCATTCCTATAAAGAATGGATGTTCTGAAAGATAAGATTGATATTTCAAAAGATGTTATAATTACGAGCTTATTTAAAAAATGCGAAAGAAAGAAGAGACTTTTTATGAGAAGAAGAAGAAAAAAGTGAAGATAGAAGAGATCAAGTCGAAGGGCAAGGTTTAAAACTCGCTGCTTCATCTAAACCATTAGCAAACCAACATTCTTTTTCACCTGCCAATGTCACTAAAGAATCTACTCCACCAATGTCCACTCTCCCACCTGTAGAGATGGGAACTAGGAGAAACATTAAAAATTTGAAATTTAATAAATATGCTATCAACTTCTTATGGTTCTATTCTCAATGAGCCGGCTTGGCGAGACGCCAGTTGTTGACCAATAAACTCGCCAAGATCCGATTCTCTGGGATGGCGGTCACCCAATAAAGTATTGAGGTGGTTGTGGTTGAAGTTATCCCCACCCCTATTGGTGATTGCAGCTACAAGTCGCCAAAATGGCTGCCAAGCAACAAGTTGCTGAAGGGCCACGTACCATAGGATGAGTTCCCCAAATATTTATTTTATTTTATTTATTATTATGGACTTTACTGATGATGTCACTCCTTAAGAGCATGAAGGCGGCTAATTCCTCAAGGAGGGAGCTGATGAAGGTGAGGAGGACCACGACAATTCCCCCTTGGTAAGGAGGAAATGGAAGTTGAAGTTTCCTATGGAAATGGAAGTTGAAGTTTCCTATTAATTTCAGTGAAAATAAGGAGGAAGATTTTGTTGATGAAATTATTGTGTTTCAGGCTAATGGCAAAGCAATGATTAAAGAAAACGCACCAAAAGAAGTCGTTCTTCCTGCTGAGTCGAATACACCTCAATAATCTCCTACTACATAAACCAATCCAACACAAGTTCCTTCGAGCGCCTCTCCCCTAGCCGAACTCAAATACAAGGCAATATCTAAATAAATTAGGAGTTAGCTAAGGTGAGGACCGAGGGATGATTATAATAGATCGTCAGAGAAATCCAGAGAAAAAAGACAAGTCATTGCCACATCCTTTCCTCATAAAAGGACAAGAGCTTCTCATGACACTAGTGGCAAAATGCTTAGTAATCCTCAATCTAGGAAGAAAGGTTAGCCGTTGAAAAGGAATTAACGTCAGCTCTAATAGACTTCTCTATGGATCCGGATTTGCCAGAGGATGAGTTCTCCTCAATGACTTATCATCTAAACCCAACTATATTCTAAGAAGTCAGAAGAAAATGATTGACACTCTAGCAGGCCAATTTCACTATGTAATCATAAAGGTGAATGCGTCCGGCTAGCAATACAATTATAAAATGGTGATTAACTACAAGAAGATGTTCCCTTAGATGATCATGCAATACTCGAACATTCAAAAACTAGAGAATAAGATGGATAGCCCATAAAGTCTCCTTGAAAAGAGAAGGCCAAAAAAGAAGTGGCAGAGGCAGTGATCAAGAAGCTTTTTAAAAAAGAAACTACTCTAGTGATAGTGACTTTAATGGACAAAAAAAGATGAAAAAATTTAGAAGTTGCCCATAAGAGAAATGCTGAACTCGAAGAAAAAAATCAAGCGCCTGCAAAGTAAGAAAAATTTATGAAGATAGTTGATGACATCTTTTAAAATGTAACCAGACTATCAAGTACAACGAAATTTCATCATCAATATTAATTGTAGGACTTCACTTCTGCTTAGACAAATTAGTAGAAAATAAAATTCTCCCGTGTGTACCAGCAAAAGGAGACCTGAATTATTAGCAGCAAATGAGAGCTCCAATGATGAAGAAAGCACCACAAGTAACTGATACTTTTTTTTCCTTGCATACTTTTGTACTAGTAAGAAATTTATAAAGCAATAAAATTTTACTTATATAAATTTTTGTCTCTGTTTGAGCTGAATTCTTTTTTTATTTTTTCTCTACAAACAATGCCAACATCAAGCCATTATCCCACTACGTGGGGTCAACTACATGAATCCTTTTCTCCATTGTGTCATGTTAAGAGTCAAATTCAAAATAGAACTTGAATGAATACTTCATCATAAAAAAAATGAATACCTAATATCGAGTATCACTTCAATATTGAGTTAAGCTAATATCGAAATACGAGTACCACTTCAATATTGTTCTTTTAACAAAAAATTAACTAATTGAGTCATATAGAATGTGAATGAATACTTTCATATAAAATCATATGTACTGTCATCACTGAGGAGATCTGTATTTGAGTTGTTATTATAATAAATTAGTCTTTCTTCGGTCTCATCCTGTGAAATCCAATGCCTCTCAATATGTTTCTTCTTCATTTATTTCAGGCATCTTTCTCTTTCATAAATATTTTTCATCAACATAAAGATAAGATTAATACTCCAAAATTTTTAGAGGTGGTGGTTGTGTGCGGCTTTCAAATGATCATTATTGGCAGAAACAACCATTCTCTGGTATGCATGTTATGCTCAACGAGTAGCATAGCCTCAACTCTGTGTAAGAATACAAAGGTCGGTTGCCCCATCATCGATGATGTTATCCTTGGCGCTCAGAAGATTGAGGCAACAACTTAGCTCACTTGCTTTTAGCATCTTCAACATTATTTTTAGCAAATTCAATATTAGCTTATTCTTCGCATCAACTTGCACATTCGTCATTCGATGATGGGCTAAGGTTAAATTCAACCGAATTCCTTGGCTTTGACAAAATTCATTGATCTTCCTGTTTGTGAACTATGGCCCATTATTACAAATAATTATCACAGGAAGACCATAATGACAAATACTACCAATCCAAATGAAACTACGCACAACTTCTACAGTGGTCGTTACAAGTACCTTTACCTCAATTCATTTTGTGGCATAGTGGATCATGAGTAGCATGAACTTCATCTATCACTACACAAGAGGGAATGGGGCAATTACATCCAAGCCCCATACATAAAAAAGTCATGGATTTGAAATTAGTTGTAGCTTGCATGATGATTGAAGTTGTATGAGAACACATTTTTGGCATGGAATACACCAATTAGAGAATTCTTCAGCACTTTTTTTAAGTGTTGGACAAAAATATCTCAGCCTCAAGATTCCATTCACGGGAAATCGGGAATTCTCCCTCCAAACTAGCTTCCTTGCTTGCAAAGGTGAACTTCCTCTAGAACGTTGGTGACTTCAGATGCTCTCATGCACCTCAAATAGGTATTCATCACCAACTTCCTGAACAATTTTCCATCAATGAAGAGATATTGAGTTGCCTTGGATCCTTTGAACTTACTTGATAGGTCTTCCATTAGAATTTCCCATCTCAAAGAGCAATTTGACAAATTGATTTTGATCTCTAGAAATGTGCTCATTTTTAAGTATTTGAATTTCCCAATCACAACTTTTACTTCAAATAAGAATTTTTAAAGGACTTCTTTCTTAGCTTTGTATTGCATATTGATTTGATTCACAACAAGTTGACAGTCAGAGTGCATCGTCAAATGCCTTACACTCAGTCCTACAACAAATCTCAAGCATATGACTAACACCACATACTCTACTTGACTATTGATGATTTGAAAGCCAATTGTCGAAGAGTACAACTCCTACTAGACTCCTCAAAAACAACTCAAATGCTGACTCCTACACTATAGGAATAATCAGCATAGAGTCCATAGCAAATCTTCCTTTACTAGTCGCCTCCTCGTCAACGTCAACTACACTGAAGTTGGCCAAGAAAACTGCTAACCCTTATGCCTTGATTGTGGTCCTTAGCGTGTAAAAGATTCGAAAATTGTTGAGTTCTACATGTTTGAGTAGTCTCCTCGAATGGTACAACTTTGTATGGGCTGACTTCA